TGGCAATTTTTCTAGCTTTAATAAAAACCCATTTAGAATCATCCTGGATGGTTTAAATGGCTCCCTGTTCCGTGAAAATGGTTGGGTGACCCCCCCACCCACTCTAGGCAGACCCAGGCGGAAAACACCCTTGCAAACTTTGGGACTACCGTAAATTGGAAATGGGAACGTTCGCGAGACGAGATACGAGGGAGAAACACGAACGGCTTTTCGGCTTCTGCATAAACGGCCACGCCGCCTCAATACGGTTAGACTGTATAATGTATTACCCCACCTCGATGATATTGCTCACACGAAAGAGAAGTTTGCGACCGTGTTGAAAAAACGCGCTCAGCAGCGGGTAAGAAGAAAGGGGGAACGGAGGTGCCGGCAAGTTGAAGTTTTTTTTTTACGACGTGAAATAAAAAAGAACCAAAAGCCCGGTTAAAAAAAAAACTCATCCACCGTTCCTGCCAAGTTCCCCTTTAACTGAATATCAGAATTCTTCTGAGTTGACTGGAGGATCATTCGGATCACCTGTTTCACAGGGTGTGGGGACTGACTCCTAAACAATGATTGAGAGCAGCTTGGTGCATTCCCCTCTTGGCCAATCAGGCTGTGACCGCACCCATTCTGCAGGGCATAACAGAGACGGAGAACTGCACACCTAGGACATTCTGATCCTTTCTCAACTTAGTGCACATCTCCCTTTAGTGGCTAGTGTCGGCCAGAAACTCTTTGCTGTCTCTTGTTTTATGACTAAAAGTGATGATGAGTATTCTGAAACTGAAGCCTGAGTCAATGTTAAAGAACCCCTTTAAACTTAGTTACCTGCATCGGGGCAGATTTTAGTGCCATTGGTGCAAGTTTATGTTATTACCAAAGTGACCTTTATTGATTGCATTGAACAAAGCCATCCTCATTCTGTCTTATATTCATATAAAAAAAAAAAAGAAAAGTCTCCCAACGAGCTGACTCATAGAGGCAACTCATTCACGAATGACACATCGCTATGACTGACAGTGATTGTGGCTCTGACATTATCGGACCAACCCCACTATTGCTTCTAACTCCAGGTGTAGAGGTTATTATGACAATAAATGCAATTTAAAGCAAACACAAAATATTTAAAACCCTTTAAACATGAGTCAAACTGTAATTTAGTGTTGCCATGGCTCCATTATTAAAGTAGTTAAATATAGTTTAAACAGTTTTTTTCAAAATAAATACCTGGAGTTATTTATTATTTGTGAAAATGTACTCTTAATATGGCATATATAAACTTCCTCTGTGGGGAAAAACATTCAGACCAGCGAAATCTGGCCAGTGCTTCTTTCTCTACACAAATATTTTTGGACCCACATTTCATGAGATCCTTGTCAGTATTACTTTGATTTTATCCTCTAGAGTGTCACACAGTTTTTAGAGCTCTAGTTTATCTCTGATTATTAGGACCTACTGCTTTTCACATCCTCCATCACCATGGTAACTCCCTGGAAGCAGTCCTGCAGTTGGAGTACAGGTCGGTGCCATTCCTCCAGTGTGCAAAGCCTTCCAGATGCCACAACTTAAACAGAGTGAAGCAGTGGCTGCATGTTGATGAACTCCATCCAAGGCTTCAGGGATGGTCACGCTCAGTGGTCCAGTTTATTACACCTGCTTTAGACGTGATAAAAAGCTCTGTTACGCAGCTGGAAGCTACTTCAAACAGCTCACAGATCTTCCAT